AGTGCCAGAAAACCAGACAGCGTTGTACAAACAAAGTAAGGTTTTTCTTGTTTCGGCTGGTAGGTTTTTTAACATTCTCCGCTAGACTGAAAGCTTGGTTATATGCCTCGTATCTAGTGGATTTGTGTTCGAGTTTCTGCTTTTCTATTCTTGTTCTGTATTTTTGGAAAGTGTCAGTATAGTGGGACGAGCTGGATACCCGTTCAAAATGTGCCCCGAGGAAGTTTGCCTGATCTTCCAAGGTATCACCTTGAGTTTTTACGAGTGGAAGTGTGTGTACTTGTTTCCCTGCTATCCTACCGACCATGTTCCAGACTTTGGCCTCTTGTGTGTAAGAATTGATCCCTGACAAAAACTTCTGCCAGCTTTCTCTTCTGGTCTGCCGACGCGTTCTTCTAGCTTGAGACTTTATTTTCTTGAAGGTGTCAAGATTTTCGGCTGTCGGTGAGTTCCGAAGCAGCCTCCAAGCTTTGTTTTGCTGTTTGCGCGCGTTTTGGCATTCAGAGTTCCACCATGGCACACGCCGTTTTCCAGGGTGTCCATTTGTTTGTGGAATGCATTTTGTTGCAGCATCAATCAAAAACGCTGTGAAGAAGTTGACAGCAACATCAATGTTCAAAGTACATATGTCATTCCAACCTAGACAAGCGATGGTATAAAACTGTTCCCAGTCGGCTCTGTTTATGAGCCACTTGGGAACACATGGTGGACACTCAGTTACTGTATTTGTGCTCAAAACTACGGGGAAGTGGTCACTTCCGTACAGATTACTGACGACTTTCCACTGGAGTAGAGACACAAGAGATGGAGATACTATGCTTAGGTCTATGGAGGAGTAGGTGTTATTGGCGAGATTATAATAGGTTGGTTCTTTTCGATTTAGGAGACACGCGCTCGACGAGAGAAGGAACTGTTCGATCAGTCGACCTCGCGCGTCATACCGAGAGTCACCCCATAGCCTGCTATGCGCATTAAAGTCTCCACGGAGAACATAAGGTTCCGGAAGTTCATCAATTAAAGAGTGTAAATCACGGTTTTGCAGCTGATAGCTAGGAGGAATGTAAATAGTGCAGATTGTGATCAGTTTATCAAACAGAACCGCTCGAACAACCACTGCCTCAAGGGATGTTTGGAGTTGTAAGTGTGTGCATGCAATTCCTTGATTCACTATGATGGCAACACCTCCGGATGATGTCATGGCATCATCACGGTCCTTTCGAAGAATAACGTATTTACGAAGAAAATTTGTGTGTTTTGAATTAAGGTGTGTTTCTTGTACACACAGCACTTTTGGTGAGTGTTCGTGTAAGAGTTCTTGGATGTCGTCAAGGTTTCTGAGAAGGCCCCTGACGTTCCATTGTATAATTTGAGTGTTCATGGTGAATGTAAAATAATGCTGTGTGTACGAAAAGCGAGTGGCTGTTTAGACGGGGAGTTTGAGTTCACTTAACAGGGCCGTCACCAGGCCCTGTTATTTGCTTTTTTGTTTTCTTGGCGCGCTCCAAGGAGCCACGCCGCTCTTTCGGCACCAAGGGTGCCGACGTATCCATTGCCTCCTCGGAGGCACTGGATGCCCGCACGTGCGGGCTGTTAGTTCGGATTTCGGGCCTCGCCTGGTGAGGGGAGGCCTTGAGACCCGAAGACTCTGGAGTCTCCGGTCTCTGTTTGGGAGCAGGCGGTGTAGCCTGGGCTACGGCCGCCTTGGGGGCAGGTGCCACAACCGCCGGCTCGGTATGCGCGGGACGAAGGAGTGGCGAGGGCTGGTGCGGCGGTGCCCCCTGACGCGCCGCATCAGCGTATGTAGGTCCATAGAATGGAGCGAATCTTCGCCGTGCTTCTTTAAACGTAATGTTCTCCTTCACCTTCAATGTAATTATTTCTTTTTATTTTTTCCAGTATGTGCAGGAGCGTGAATATGCGGCATGGTTTCCTTCGCAGTTTACACAGTGTGGCAGTTGTTTGCAGTTCTCAGACACGTGGCCTAGGACTCCACATTGTGCACAAGTCTGGCGACCACGACAGGTTTTAGAGCCATGGCCATACCTCTGGCATTGGAAGCAACGACGAGGGTTTGGTATATACGGCCTGATAGATGTCTTTGTGTACCCTGTTTGAATGGAATCTGGTAGTTTACTGGATGCAAACGTGAGTATCAAGTGTTTCGTTGGTATTTCCTTATTATCTCTTCTGATGATAATTCTCTGTACATTATTGACATTTTGGCTCTTCCACCCTTCCAAAAGTTCAGTTTCGGTGAGTTCAAGTAAGTCTGCATCAGATACCACTCCGCGAGTGATGTTCATGGATCTGTGTGGTGTTACGGTGATCGGTACGTCACCAAACGTTGAGAGGCTGTCTAGCTTTACAAATTGTGCTTTGTCCCGAATTTCGAGAAGAAGGTCTCCGCTAGCCATTTTGGTTACTTTGTATCCAGCCCCGAGAGTTTCAGTAAGACACTTGGTAACTACGAAAGGAGATACGGTCCTGGCTTGCTTTCCGGTTTTTTCACAGTGAATGACGTGGAAAGTGGGGAAAAGTTTCTATTGGCTGGTTGAAGAAGTTTATGTCGTCGGTGCGTACCCACTTTAGGCCGGTACGATCAGACAGTTGAGGGAATGCTCCATGCATGCCGGTCTTATTTTTGTTCAGCAGCGTTGGCGGCCACCCACCACGGAGCCCAACGAGGGGACGCTACAAGTTTACAGATGCTGAAAACTGCAGACGCCAGCCGTACAACGCCACTATAACCCAATGCGCCTAGACCAAGGTAGGTTATTCGCACAGAGTTAACCCTAGCCGCCAGGAAGTTTGGAAGTAAACGGAAGAGAGTAGAAGACAGGACAGATAAATAGTAAGAGATAAAGACGAAGATGTAGGGAGAGAGAGATAGGAAAAGGCGACTGCCGATTTCCCCAGGGTGGGTCAGCCCAGGGGTGCCGTCTACGTGAAGCCGGGGCCAAAGGGGTGTGTTGCCTCTGCCGGGGGGCTTTAACGGTCCAATCACCCAGCGTCGGCTCAACCCCCAGGATCCCCTTTTCCCCGGACACGGCAAAGCCACGCACGGCTAGGCGTGGGAGGGAGTAGAAACTCCCCCGTTAGCTCGGGTCCGTGGTGTCGCTACACACCAAACGCCTGTTGGCAAAAGGTAATTCCAGAATTTTTGCGGAGAGGACTTCAAAAAGTTACCAAGGGTGTTACGAAAGTAATTATCTTTATCTGCTTTTTCCTTTGCTTTCATAGTTTTTATGGCTAGTGTGAGCCTGTTTTTGCGAGTTGTCTGGGAATTGGTTTTCAAGTATTTTCTTAGCCTCTTCACCTTTCTTTTTTCGTGTATGATGTTGCGTGTAATCCAAGGATTACTTTTTTTTTTCTCCTTTATACGGGAGGGCACATATGTATGAATGCAGTGCAGTACGATTGATTTGAATTTTTGCCAAATAATCTCTATGTTACTATCGGGAGCGTCGCCGAGATGTTCGAAAGCACTTAGTTCATAAAGAAGATTGTCTAGTATGCTGTTATCATCTGCCTAGCTGAACAATCGGAGTAAGTGGTGATTTGTTTTTGCGGTAAATAGGCATCGTGTACGCAGCGGCCGGTCGCAACACAAGGCAGGAGGCATGGCCTCCGAGATGGCGTGCTGGCAGGAGGCTCCCAATTGAAAAGAGAGCGACGTTCCAGGCATAGTTTTTCTAGGAGGCATTGGACGTTGTTAACAGTATACCACGTGACATGGCTTAAAATATTTAACACGACATGCGTAGGTTATGTATTTTGTTGCTTGAATCGATGAATAAAACTTGAGATAAATAATGAGACGCAATAAGGAAATGTGCGCGTCTTTCATTTTTTCCGTGAATTGCAACGAAATGTGCAACGGGCTAATGCGCCAGCGTTTCGCATACGTCCGTGTCCCCGCGGTTAGTGCATCGAGCAGACAACAACCGTGGAACGCTCCTACGCATTCACGCACTAATTGTGCTCATCTATTCTACCGCGTCCAAACCAGCGTTTCCAAATGATCCCGCAGAAAAGGCAGTATACCTTAACACAACGCTGGCCAAAAACAACAAAAAAAAAAATGACGCTCGCGTGCACGGGGGTTGGGCTTGTTCAGGCACGTCATGCGCACGTAACCTCTTGGTCAGATGCCGCAGAGGGTAGAGAAGAGATTTGGCTTGCAAAGGCTACGCGGAGGAGCGGCAAGTGTTTCGAGCTCGCCACCTCTCATCCTCTTTTCGCACTGCTTCAAAAAGACTGTTTTCTCAAGCTCCTAATGAACAGATTCAAAAAAATGTTTTTTGGGAAAAATGTTCCTCATCGGACACTCAACAACTTTCATGGTCTAACTAAAATTTAGTATGGGGCCTGGTGAATGGCCCTTTAATGATTATTAAATGTTTTGACCTTACACGCTCGTAAATTTTACCATGCGCGGGGGCATGTTATTAATTTGGGGTTGTTGCGGAACGTGGCGGTGACAAAAAAAGAAGGGAACCTAGTAATAACTGAGCCTTGTGGAGCCCAAGTAATGATTTTTTTTGTTTCAAAGAAGTAATGCTATTGATCGTCACCACCAGAAATCTATCTTCCAGGTATCTTGATAACATGGTACCATGCAATATAGTACAATGTGCTAGGTATGCTCTAACTAAAAAGCTGTAGGAAATTAACAGTATCTAGACTAGCCCCAACTGTGTACTTATTCCAAGCAATAATCCTGACTTCCCCCCCCCCCCTGATGCTAGTTGTCTCGCCTCCAATTCAACCTAGTCACAAGCCTCGGAACCAAGCTGTTTTAGTGCCACGCAACGAACATTAGCTAGAAAAGTGCTCAGCCTGCAATGCTAAAGTTTTTTTTTTTACCAATATGTTGTAGGCACCCACCTGCAAGAGGTGAGCATGCATAATGTGGCAGTCATGGCATAGTTCTCAGGGGTGATGATCCAGAACTGGGGTATGCAAGCTCCTGATAAGGCATACACAAGTGTAAACGTTCCTATTGTGCCTTGTATGTACATTCCTTTATTCTAACCTTATGTACAAATTAAAGAGAACTAGAATGTTGTGGCTCTTCATGTCTTTGCTTGTGGCTTCTTTCCTCTGCTCAGAGCCTTGCAGATCCTTTTCTTGAGCTCCTTCTGCCGCTTAAGCTGCTTCATTTCGCTCTTCCGACATTCAGCACGATGCTGTCGTACCCGTTGAATTACCTTGTCTTTCATCTTCCGCAGCTTCTCTTTGTGCACAGTCTTCATCATTTGCATTAACTTAAGCTTCTGAAATGGCAGGCATAAAACAACAATATAGCCACGTTCTGTGATGTGTACATCAACCTCAATTGCACATGAAAAAACGCTACTTCACCTCTTTTTCCGATTCTTCCAGAACAACCGCCACACGTTCAAGAGCATTGCCTCCCTCTGTCACAGACTTCACCTTTGGCTTGTCCTTGTAGGGAAGGTTCTTTTGCAGCTCCCTTGGGATCACAAAAGGCTTGAAGTGGAATGCTTTACGTTCAGGAGCCTGAAATAATATTGAAAAAAATCAAAATTAGGCACAAAGTTACAAAAAATTCATATACGGTAACAGTAAAAAATATGTGGTGCATCCAAGTATGCTCGTTTGTTGTGGCTTCGTGCTACGGCGATTTTCAGTCACCAGGTCTCGTGAAGTGCTTTGCTTGTAATTGTCATGGCCTCATCATAGCTCATCATGATCATGGTCTTTACCTCGCCACTCACGCAGTTTATGCTAAGAGCTTGAGGTGCTGGCGAGAAATGGAATGTGCTACGATCTTTTAACGTGCTCACGGGAGACCGATTGTTGTGCTGTCAGTCATGATGGGCAAAACAAAGTTCGGGACTCTTTACGCATATGGTTCAAGAAAGCGTCAGATGAAGCTCATACGCATGGCGCGGCTTGTTCACGCAGCAACGCGCGACGACAATTGCATCGATGCTTTCGGTGGAGCAGTTTCTGCTTCGTCTCTGCAAGACAACGACTGCATTGACGCTTATCGCGATGTCGAGATGGCTACACCATCGGCGCAAGACCCCGTTGTCACAACTGAGGTTGGTGTTTCGTGTACAAGTGCGCCTGATGCATCGCACTCACTAACCACAGTGATTACAGCCCCAAACAGTACGACCGCGTCGTCGACTGTGCACTTGCAGATACGTTTTCGGACATGCGAGGAGTTAGCCCTGGAGGACAGCAAACATGCTGCTGTGCAACAAAAGCTCGGCGCTATGCCAGCGACTGAGAGGAAGTTTCAGATGATGCCTGAACCTGAGGATGCCACCGCTTCGACTGAAGGCGAGAAATATTTCCTCGTGCAAGGGAATGCCCTTAGCGACCTTTTGTCCAAGACCCTGTGCCCGCGCTGCTGCACGAGTGGGGTGAAGTTTCAAGGAAGCACCCAGCTTGGACTTGCCACGAAGCTTCAGCTATTATTTAAGCACTGTGGAATACTTTTGAGCTCGTAGAGTTCTGCTCGCCAGAACGAGTCAGAAGCCTTCGACATGACGTGAATACAAGGGCTATTATGGCTTTGAAGAAAACAGGGAAATGGCAGACTGCCCTCAACGACTTTTCGGCTGCTATGAATGTGTTCCACCATGGCCTGCACCTTAGAACTTTCCAGAAGCACCTGAAGCAATCCAGAGAACCACAAGGACAGACCTTGGAAAAACTCTACGCAGAATCGGCTTCTGCCGTGAGAAAGGCGAACAAGGAGATGGACCCATCTTTCTGCAGGGACATCACATTGAACTATGATAGGACTTGGCACAAGCGTGGACATATATCCCACATTGGAGTTGGTGCAGTCATCGAGTACCACACAGGCCTCATCTTAGATGCATTAGTGTAGTCTAATCACTGCCTCGGCTGCCAGTTAGAGCCGAAGCCCGAGCACACTGGCTACGCAAGTTGCTTGGAGCAGCACGTGTACCAAAAAAACAGTGATGCGAAGTCTAGGAAAATGGATGTTGAGGCAGCATTGTGTTCACACGTTCTGTGTCAAAACATAACCTCCGTTACACAACCATTGTATCTGATGGAGATAGTGCCACATATTCTGCCTTTCAACAAGAGAATGTTTATGAGCTAGTCCCTGTCGTCAAAGAATGCCTCAACCATGTTCAGAAGAGGATGGGTGCAGCTCTGCGTAATCTAATGCAGAAGAGTGAACAAGCTCTAGGAGAAAAGGAAAGGCTGGTTGACGAAAGCACTTATTGATAAGCTGGCAGAATATTATGGCTGGGCACTGCTGGGCACTGCTGAACAATGCCAGTGATGTGACTGCAATGCAGCGTGCAGCGATGGCATCATTTTACCACATCACCTCCACAGACACGGACCCTCACCAGTCCCTGTCGTCAAAAAAGAATGCCTCAACCATGTTCAGCAGAGGATGGGCGCAGCTCTGCATAATCTCCTGCAGAAAAGTGAACAAGCTCTAGGAGGGAAGGGCAGGTTGATGAAAGCACTTATTGATAAGCTAACGGATTATTATGGCTGGGCATTGCGGAACAATTCCAGAGATCTGACTGCAATGCAGCATGCAGTGATGGCATCATTTTACCACGTCCCCTTCACAGACACGGACCCTCACCATGACTTGTGCCAGGAAGGTGCGGACTCGTGGTGCCGTCATAATGCCAGCAAGGCGAATGGTGTAACCCCTCCAAAGCTTACGTACAATCTTCCAGGCTATGTTGCAAAAGCACTGCTGCCAGTCTATCAGCACCTTTCACAGGCTTCCCTTCTGCAACGCTGCCTGGGAGCAAAGACACAAAATGCGTTGGAATCGCCCCACTCTGTTTTATGGTCCTTGATGCCCAAGGAACAGCATTCATCATTGATAGCTAGGGAGACAGCACTGCATGAGGCAGTTTTGAGGTACAACGCCGGCTGCTACAGGGCCACCCAAGAGTTGTCATCACCGGTAAGGCTCACACCTGAACACCTAACCAACCAAAGGGCTGCAGAGAAAGACACTCTGCGTCTGAAAAAGGCTCAAAAACAAATGCAAAACACAAGAAGGAAAAGCGGCAGAAAAAAGAAAGTCCCAAAGGACACCTCTAGTTACTGTGCAGGGTCGTTTTAGGCCAAAATATGTGTTCAAAACTTTCAAAGTCCGTTTTCTCAGAATGACTTTTTTGGCCAGTGAGGCTGTTTAGTCTGGTGATATCTCTGTAACCGTTTATCTTATTTATATTAGATTTGTTTTATTATGTACCTTAATGAATAGTCCACAGAGTGACAGAGCTGCTTTTTAAATTTATTGTGTCTGTAATTTGTGATAATTAATTAAAGTTTCATTGATGAAAGCTCAATGGCAAACACTATATCCCGTGCTCTGCTAAAAACTTTCTGCAAAGAAATTTAAAAAAAAAAAGGCTCTGTCCCAGTGTAAAGCACCCACCCAGGAATCATCACAGTGAATTTCATGGTGCTAGCACATTTACTAAATTGACCAGAGCCTGGCTAAGAAACCTACGTGCACTATCCTGATAATTGGCTGTAACTTGGGAACCACCAAACCTAAATGCGTGAAATTTTGTGGTTTTTCAAATGGCTTTATTGTTAGCCTACCCTGAAAATTTTAGTAGGATAGCTCAACAAACAAAAAAGTCGCCCTTCCATGGTAACCTCCCCTCTTAAAGGGAGGTGCAACTTTTTTTTAATATTCAGACACTTTTAATAATATTAAGACACTAATATTAAGACACTTTTTTTTAATATCTGCCCTAGAGCAATGAAACTTGATCTGTTTATGGAACTTAGTATGCTGATTTCAAATATATAATTACTTTTCTTGCAAGTTGCATAACTTGCAGTGCTGTACATGACAAAGTGAAAACCTTAACCATTTTGCCCCCCCTCTTTTCATCCCTAAACTTCTGTAACTTTTTACCATTCATAGTTCATAATGTTTCAAATAAAGTATGGAATTCAAATAACTAATTAGAAAGCACATACAGAATATTTAATAGGCATAAAAAATAATAGACGTAAAAAGTCCATATTTCACCTACCATAGTAAAGGTTTACCTACAATTTTTCATTATATAATAAAATATTAAAATTGAAATCAGATAATTGTATTTGTCATACTTTGGAAAACATTTGGGCAAAATTTTATGCAGATCTATGCACTGGAAGTACCCGAAAAAGGAGGGGCACCTTAAAAAAATGTCAAAATTTGTGTTTTGAGAAAAATGAGTTTTAAAGTTAAAATTCAGCTTTTATTTAGAAAAGATGTGATTAAATACAATGAAATTCGCACACCAAAAAGAACAATCCTTCTTGTAGTGGCCACTGCCACTAAAATACGCCAGCACCATGAGTTTGCCCCTCTCGGCTTTTTCGAGCGGACTCCTCACAGACATTTCACTACAGACAGGGCCATGAAATGCTTACCAAACTTTTTCCGCTCCATCTGGCAGAGCCTTGTGTCGACTGCAAGCTAGGAAGAAGTTCGACAGGACTGCGAAATCTTAACTAAGTCCAGTGTCGAGGGACCCAACAGTGCCGATGCCATTTTGCAGCCACGTTTATGCCAAATACCGTTGTACATGATGGCAATGTCGTCCCCTCTAAGTTCCTTCGACCTTGCAAGATTGACGCTGACGTCATCCATTGCTACATCTCGAACTTCCGGGCTAATGGCAGTGAATTCGAACTTCCGGGCTAATGGCAGTGAATTACTTGTGATGCACTGGCTTTTCTAAGCCAACAACTGCCGCAAATCGAACCAGCTGCTCGTAGCCTACTCCTACAGAGCGCTCTGCCACAATGGCCTTCACGTGCGAGCAATGGCTTTTTTCATTCATAACGGAGATAAATACACGAGAAAAGAATTGTTCAGCTGCGCTGCTCGCCAAGACATAGACTCAGCACATGCAAGCGTGCAGTGGCCAATGGCGATCCCCAAAAAACGCGCAAAAGCGTGCTTCTTTTTATTATTTCTGATCCCGCATCAGAGAGCGAAACTGTCGTTATTTGAGCAGAGAGGCTTGACTCTTCGCCTCATTCGATCAACATTGGTGAGCGTCAATGCATTATCGGCGGCAAGGTGCTCTAAGACTGCACACTTTCGGCCTTTTAACAGGCACCTCGTGCTCTTTATATGCAATTTTAAAGCATTTCCAGTTAAGTCTCGACATGCTTTTCTTTTTACAGAACAGTAGAGGTACTAATCTTATCAAAACAGGCGCAAATAAAAAAACACCAATTTTGAAGAAAACTCTCCGTTTTCCCGACTCGCATCTTCCCTTAAATATGCAATAAAGTGAAATGTTTCTTCTGCACAAAATTTTGGTTCATTGTACAGTTGAATACTGCTACTTCGAAATTTCTGCCACAACGAAACATATTATACTCTCTGTGATCTGCCTACACAAAACAATACACATGAAAGAGCCCCTTATCCACAAACAATTTTCATGGATCCTATACTTTGACGAAGATCTGCAAGAACTCGTGAATCAGGAGAAGGCAATTGCATAGGAATGCTGCTGAATACCAATGGCCACTTGAAGATTTCTCGTTGGCTTGCAACTTTCACAGCAAAATGGCCACATCACAAAACCCACATTTCGATTTGAGACATGCTTTTTGCTTCTGCATGCACATTCAGACCATTTTTTTACCAAAATGGTCTCTTTTACATTCCACTGAGAAAGTTGTCTACTATTATGAAAATTTTCGAATCCAACACTCTGTTGCTCAATGTGTGTCACACACTTTTTCCCCCCAAAACACAGAAAGCCCAGGAAAGAAAAAGGAGTCCTTCGCAGGTAGTCTGCAAGTTACAGATTCTGAAGTCATGTGCTTTTCATTCTTGGCGAGGAATTATAAATGTGCATATAATTACAGTTGGAAACAAGCCTTCTCACCTTGTACAGAGAGTCTTGCAACACAGGCGCATGCAGACCCCGTTCAGCTCTCAATTGTCCAACTGTCTTCATGCCTTGCCATTTCGTTTTCTCTTCATCAGGTGCCAGCAATGTAGTCAATGTCATGTAGAAGCGCTGCACTGGCACTTCAGTCCATGCCCGAAGAAACACTAGGTCTGGAAGCAGGAATAAAGAAAGGTTAATAGTTCATAGAAACACAGAGGTGGTTGTGGCGAAACGGGTCGGCGCCGCTTCAGCGACTGCTCGTCACGGTGATGCCTCCAAACACGGGCGCCAGCGATAAGAACACTCTCGCCCGAAATAAGCAAGAAAACTCTGTGTGTGCCCCGATTCAGGGGCAGTCGTTGTAGAGCCTTCAGTGCGGAAACATTAAAGTTATGTTATCCCACATCATTACATGTAATACATGTATTAAAATAAATGTCACTAGAGGGACCCCACAACATTTTCCCAAGTTATCATAGATATGACATGACTATTGAACTCCATTTCTTCAGGTATACAAAGAATTATTGCATGGCACCAATGCTTTCTCACTCTTTTGCTATCATCAGCATGCTGAAAGCTACACAGGATGCAATGGCAATGTGGTTATGAGCGGCCCAAGAGTACTGCTGCGAGGGTCGCTGATTCTCAGTCTTTGAGAATTTCTGTTGTGAATAAGCTCCACAGCCCTTTTCAGCCACCCAATTTCTGAACTACAGAAACAATTTAAACACAATATATATCTTTCCCACCATGACCTCAGCAGATGTTACTGAGAAGTTTACAAAATGCAATGTTTATGAACCCAATTTTAGAAACTCTCAAAGAAGGACAAAAAAATATGAGGAACACACAAGTAAATACAGAAAGTAAATACTATTTGCTTTGTGGATTGCACAATTTTAGCCATAATAAATTAGAATTTGAATGGAGAGAGCAATGTTGTAGTTCCTCGTGAAATGATACGTGACGTTAAAAGGACCCTGAAAAAGACCCTGAAACAGTTTTGGCGATTTTATATACACACATCAGGCCAGTGTACTAAGTTCTAAGGGTCATTTAGAGACCGATTTATACTCTCTGTGTAAACTGTCTAATTTATCACAGTGCCTTAAAGCTGCAAATCGCAGCAGGTCACTGCGGCTCGGCCGAACGCGTTTTCAACCGCCCATTTGCACAGCGACATGCTCTGGCCACTTGATGTCACCGAGGCTGCAGATCTGATTGGTTGTCATGGGCTGTAGAATGCGTGGGTAAGATTGGCTAGTAGAGTAGCGGCACCTGTCAGATCTGATATGAACCACTCCACAATCTTCGTCTCTGTTCCCAGATGGTGTCAGTGCTGCTGGGTGCACTGTGTGATGGCCTTCGAGACTCTGCACAACCTGTTGGCATGCGATCTCTAAGGTCTAGACTGGTAAAAGCTCAAATCGTCAAGCGCTCAGAAAGCTTTGCGATCGCCAGCGATGAAAGTGTGCCTCACGAGTTGAAGACGCCATGCCAAAGTGAGTCCGTAGCGACCTTGGTATACGCGTGTCACTGACTTTGTTGTGCAAATAGTTCATGATGCTCTATGTAGCCTAAATGCTGACAAAACTCAAAAAAACTGTTTCAGGGTCTTTTTAAGCAGAAATGAGAATAGAAAACGAAAGTTTTTTTCAAAAATTAAATATTTTTAATTTTTATTTGTTTTTTACAAGTTTAATTTTACTATTTTCACAAAGAAAAGAAAGATTGAAATTAAACTTGAAGTAGGCTAAATTCGCTTTTAAAGGGCACACGCCGTGGCTACTAAAAACTAAGAAGAGCTCATTGCCTAGAGTCCCTTGGAAATTGTCACCTGGCTGCTTGCCATGGCATTTCGCATGAGAAGTTAAGTAAAGCCACATGCTCAAAGTATACATGATTGTCAAGCTCTCATGATGGAACAAAACATCTTAAAAAGGTATCTTTTCGGTATAGATGAGCTTTCACTTATACCTTTAAAATGCGTTTTTCTCAAGATCCATTTTTGGGCAACTTTTTGAGTTTAGACAATGTTTTTAGTACTTTTGATAGCTTGATTGGCATGCAATTTTGTTCACATATTCTTTACCACATGAAGAGTGCAAATGCCTAGTTTGAAATATGATACCACCAGCATAATTATTGCAATACAAACTTAATATAAGCAATTAGTATGGTTTGATGATTCCAAGAATTCTGACATTACAAACTTTCTTGTCCATTAAAATGTCTTATACACACTTTCTCAATACTTATTTGCATTCTGAAGATAACTTTAAGCAATATGACCCATTAATGACTTACCCCCGAATGCAGAGATGTTACTTGGCTCGCGACTTCAACTTAACTTGAGCAAGTCGGCGTGAAGCAAGCAGCGGACTTCAAAACGCCCAAGTCAGCCTTCGCGTTTCATAGATGCTCAGGCTGTCTTGCTTGGTCAGGTCAAGAACGAGCTTCAAAGCAGAAACACGCTGCTTGCCTGCTAACGAGGGTAATAATAAAGTTGTTCGCGTAAGGCATGCATTACAGCAAAAAAAGACCATATATGTTTTAAAATAACAACAAAAACGAAGGGCCACAAGCATATTCTTGCCATTTTACGGCTAACGAGTGGCACGTGGTGCCTGCCGCCACAGCGATGCGCAGTGTTGCTACTGTAATGCGTTCGTTGCCCGCTGGTTTTAGTGGCCACCCAAACGCGGCGTGTTTCTCCACGGTTGCTTGTTTGGAGGCGAAACAAGCATCGCGTTGGGTTCTTTCGTCGTTTTTTTTTCTTCAATCGAACGCCACGGTATATATTTGTGCTGACCTGGCTCACAAGGTGACGCGATTTTCACGGTATTTGCCTTTCTGTTCACCTGTGTGCATGCCTGTAGTGGGCTAGGTCGCAGTTATTATGAAAAAAAAAAAACAAGTTCTGTGAACAAATGTGATTCGTATCCTTTTGTTGAGCTTGGTAAACAAGAGAAAAGGCGGGGGTCAGGACATTGCCCTCAGCAGAATTGTGTCTCACGGGGTGCAGCAGTGTATCGCTGCATGATGGTGAAGCGGATAAAAAAACCCATGATAGGGGCACCTCTTTTTTATGTGTGTGGAATTTCACGTAGCGTTGTGCTACAAGCGATGCCTTTCTGAGCGAGAAACAGCGCCCTAGACGGGACGAAAGGGTAGACGAGGCACACAGACACAGCACCGAGTCAATTTTGTACCGAAAGAAGCGGAAATTGTCGTCGTGTTTAAGAAAAACAGAAATGGCCTTTGCGGTTACGGAACACTTTGGCGGCGTCCCCACCGAAGCTATTAATACGCATGTGTGTGTGTAGTCGACACAACCTGTAACACCAGGGAACTCAGACACTTCATAGAAGTCCCGCATAACTATAGAAAGTGCTGCCCACTGCGGAAAGCGCACCAGCATTGCGTACAGGTGCTTTGCGATGAGTAGCGTAACTTTTTCTACTGCACGGCAAACTGTCAACTACGGAATGCAGATGAGATTCCCGGTGACTGTTTGGAATGTGCCAGCGCCGTAAAACCCGAGAGTCATCAGTAGCTGTAACACTGGAGAAACAGGCTGTCCTCGGTTGTCCTCACTTTCACGAAGCGGCAACACACCCAGCAGCTGCCGCACGGCGTTCTTCGTGAATCTGTACCGAGCATGGAATTGTTCCTCGTCGTACAACTCCATCAGATTTCCTCGGTCACGTAAAGCGGGTTCAAGAATCTTCGGCAGGCAGTGTGCCTCAGAAAATGCTACGCTTATGGCGAGGCAAGCAAAATCAAAAGCCGCCACACTCCGCGCGACGTCCATTCGAGAGGTGGCCATGTTGGAATAACGCATGAAGTCGCTTTCAAGCTAGCCCCGCAGCTGACTTGAAACTTGTCCTGACTTCGACCGAGCCAAGTCGCCTTCAAGTCGTCCGCAAGTTCGAGAACGATTTATGGTGACCGGCAAGACTGTCTTGAGTCAAGAACGAGTCCAGTACGAGTCAAGTAACATCTCTGCATTCAGGGGTTAGAACCATAAAGGTTTAGAGTGGCATAAAAAGTTTGTCCAAAACGAACTACACTTTACACTTTGTCATGGCAGGGAACGAAAACTGCACAACTTACTATGAAACTAATTGCATATTTAAAATCCCTATAACAGCCTGCTCAGTAGCTCTAATTTAATTTCCCTAAACTACAGATTAATAAAACCTTTTTTTTTTTTTCGAATCTCATCTCACCTTAAGTGGAACCTGAAGGGACCAGTAAGATATGTTCCACTTAACAGGAGTTCCACTTACTGAGAAATGACCAGGTGTGTAGAATACAAGAATGAAACTACTCTTGTCAGAAGCACCTGTTCCATTTATGCATCAGTTCCGTTTAACAAATTTCTGTTTACTGAGTTTGCTGTAATACACCACCCCTCCTCCTTATTTTAAGGTGAAACAAGCACGACATTCTTTTGAAGTGTTTCCTGAAAAAGTCTCACCACTGAGCAGGATTTTGTCTTCAAAGGTCGCCCGAAAAGCACCAGGTGGGTTCTGTCAGCGTAGAAAAAAAAAGAAAAAGCAATGTGAGAAAACAAAGGTGCAACTCAAGTTGTGGTATGACAATTGAGACGTGGTCAATGTTTGCAGCAGAGAACAGCAATAATCATACCTGCCAAGTTGAAGGATACTGAATTCGAGAGATTTCCACAACGAAAGAGGAGGGAGGGAAGGGGGAAGGTGGTCACACCGAATTATTTGTTCAATTTTTTGCGACCAAAATTAAACAAACAAAAAACATAGCAAAACACATGGAAGAGGAAGAAAGGGGGTCTCAATAGCAAAAATCGATGGTACGGTCTTGTAATGGCCTGGAGTTAAGCACACGAGGACAGGGTTTCCCACTAAGGTGAGAGTTTTAAAGAGAGAAACCCAAATACTCCCGAAATTTAGCATCATAAAAACTAGCAAAACCCATTTCTATCAAAACAACTCGCAAATGCCTTTCTGGGACACATGTGAACGGATGAGAGTGCAACTGGCTGCTACGAAGGCGCGGGTCAAAGCTTTGCTCACTACTCTATTCTTTTGATAGGAACGCCAAACGCATCTAGCCTTTTTTATGTCTTTACTACCTGTAATCTACCGCTGCATTAGCCGCGTGCTCCTGGAGCTCGTAGATAGCTATCGCATTGCTGTGACCGTGGTTTTGTGCCCTGTGGTAGTTCCGTTTTCAATCCGTGTGCACTGGCTGCGCACGTGCCTTCAAAACTAAGTTGCTTTATGCTATCTATGATCGGATCTGCCACGGCTTTGTGCACAGAGTTTCCGGAAACAGCGTTACTTTGACTCATCGAGCATTGGACGCCTGCACACTTTCGAAGTTCTGTCAGTTACGTCGTCGCCGTACATGATAGTGTCAAGAACGACCGCAGATTCGTCCACAGCGGTTGTGGAAACGACAACCACATGCACTTGTAAAAGACAGTGTGTGTGCTGGTTGCACGCATACTTCTGAGGCCTCGAGCACGCTGCTCTCGGCCTTCGTTTGACGGTTGCGGTACTAAAGCTAATATCACCTGTCGCAATTAGGAAAAGTGGTCAGATCATTCGAATTTAGGCACAATGGGCACGGTGTAATTTGGCTGGGGAATTTCATGAATTCGTATCTGCCACGGTTTCCCATCACTGTGATTCTACTACAGTATACATTTAGATGAATGCCTCCTAAATTCGTTTATATAAAAGTGCAGTGGGTTTGCAAAAAGCCTGGAGTGAATTGACCTGTATTTTTGTCAATGCAGCTACATCACGCACATAATTTTGATTTCTGGGAGACTTTCATAACAATCGTACACACGGAATAAACGGTTGAAATACGGGAGCCTCCCAGACAATCCGGGAAACATGGCAAGTATGAATCATCCACCAAGAAAAGTCTATTATAACCATGATCCATTAAATTCAAAATTAGGGCCATAATATGCTGTAAAATGACCAAACTTCACATTATGTCTCACCTGAGGGCAACTTCGAATGATGAATATAACGAAATTCAAATAGATATTTCATACGCCTTTTGGGGAGCATGTTTTTTTCTAAACTAAGAGAGAGGCAAAGTAAATCAGCACAATAATCCAGAACCAGAGCTGACTGCGGTGCCACAAAAATGGTCTTCTAGAGCTATGCAAAGAACCCACACTTTCAAAAACCGAGAACAGAACACTTACCAGTGAAATCCCACCTTCAAATTGACTTACTCGCTAATGTTCAACATATCATAATTTTTTTTCTGATAGCTTTAAAATATCGATGTTTGTTGCACTGCAATCAGTCCAGATTCCTGATTGTTGTGATATGCTAATTTACGTCGTAGATCTCTCAGTTAAGAAAAAAAACCTCGCTCCCCAAGAAGCACATAATTTTTTTTAAAACTACCTTTATCCTTTAAGTCCCGGCACACACAACTGTGTACGCGAAATTTGAAGGCATGCTACACTCCGCCTGTTTCTTCAAATAGCCTGAATTTCTGCAGACTTCCCGAGTGAACAACTAGCGATCATTTAATTTGATTGTGCTACATATTGCTGTGAAAAGATGACTTTTCCGCAGACACTACCATGTTCTACAATCGTTCGACGTGCCACATTCCAGACCAACCTGAAAAGCTTTTTTTTCTATCCGGTGCTCACAACAAATACAACCAAAAAAAAACTGTGTATGCATTTCGGGCCTAATAGTTGACTACTTTTATACAAGTACTGATGCTGACTGGTGGAAGAATCATTAGTTATACTCATTAACTTTAATTACTGAAACTTGCACAAACCAACATGTCCTAAATTCTCTTTCTTGAAATATAATACAGTTGGCTCTCGTTAATTCAAACTTGAAGGGACCTCTGAATTTTGTTTGAATTACCAATAAGTTTGAATTGTCAGAACTCCTCTGATATGACTTTGGGTGAGGTGACATTACACGTAATGATTAGGCATTGATTTTATCAGATTTAAATTTTTTTAAGCAATTGTAAAGCCTAACTGCGCACAATGAACAGAAAGCACAGGTGCAAGGTCCACAAGTTTATCGGCACTTAAGTGCTGATCACACCTTTTAAAGAAATCGTGAATTACCAACTGCTTCTTTGCTATATATGCATCTTCAGCACAAAGCTCTCTATACCAGTTGAAAGGAATTACAGTTTAGCATCCCTGTGCTTCGTTTTAAAGATTTGTTTACTAGCAAAGCCTTTTTCCTTGAAAGCTTGAGATGCTCATTTTTCATTTTTAGACTGTTAGGGTTATATAAACACGCAAATTTTTAAATAGTAGTGGGAAAGCTGCAGACATTTTCTGGTATGAAAGTGTGAAAAGTGTGAATTAACTGGACTAAGGAGTTTGAATTAAGATTCTTTTAAATACATTTAAAGAATAGAAGGCCAACCAAAAAATTGAATTTTGTTTGAATTAACCAAAAGTATGAATTATCATAGTTTGAATTACCTAGAGTCTACTGTACTGAGTGCCTTGAAATTATGAAATGGGAATTTCACGTGTTTCTCACTGTTCATTTTGATTCGTGACTAAACAGCTTATACAAGAAAATGATTGCATATTTGAAATCAGCAACCAAATATACAAACACTCAGCAAGTTTCATCAAAATCAATTAAGAAATAAACTTTTTTTGGAGAGCTGTGTCTCTCCTGTCTAGACTGATGTCTAGGCATTACCTTTGTCAACGAGCAACGACCCCAGTCAAGCCTAGACAATGAATGACAGCCATGATACAAGCCCATTCAGCACAAAGACTCTGCTGCAAAGTATGAAATAATGTTGGGGTTTAACATCTCAAAATCATGATATAATGCCGTAGTGAGAGGCTTCGAAAATTTGAACCACCTGGGGTTCTTTGTGCTTTATAGTACTGGCGTTGCTTTATTTTTTCGCTTTTTTTTTTCAACATTTTATGAAGATACGAGCAAAGCTCGGTAGCTCCGGTCACGCCTAGAAGCCTCACTGATGAATGAAGACAGCACCTGTTGACATAATTATTGTCATATATTGACTGAATGAAGCACTTCTTTTTAATTAAATGAGGAGTTATATTTAACATTTTCGGTGATGCCACAGAGGTCTTCTCATTTGGAGCAATTTTTGGAGCAGCACAATTTTCATTTTGGAGCACTTTGGAGCTGCAAAATTTGTCATTTGGAGCACTTTGGAGCAGCAAATTTATTTTGGGGCACTTTGAAGCCGCAAAAATTTTCCATTTTGGAGCAATCTAGAGCCGCAAAATTTTCTATTTAGGAGCAATTTGGAGCAGCTAACTTCAAATCCTGGAGGAGAAGCAAGTTGCATTTACATTCAAGGACATGAAAAATTATTCTGACGCTCTTGTGAGGAGCAAAAAATATTTAGATTCATTGCAAAATTGATGGAGCCAATCATCTTAGAAGCACTCCCTATTTCAGTTGATGATACAAGAATAATGGCATCATGCAATTATATGAACATTCTTGATTGCTTTTTGCCATTGCCAGGGGTTTAGCCAAAAATATTAAAAAATTGCGGGGGGTGGGAGTCGCACCTTGATCTGAAGGGCAGGCAAAAGGTAATTTTGCGCTATACAGTCGAATTCCGTTACAACGAAACTGACGGAGCGCAGAAAAAATTTTGTTGAAGCAAAAATTTCATTGTAGTGAAATAAAAAAATTAACGCTGATCTGAGCTAGCCAAACAAAGGAACCTTTATTCCCAAAATTCAAAAAGTGTCAGCTGCTTCTTATTCTTTCCCAGGAGCGTCACGACGCATTTCTCACCTATGCTTTGCGACGCCATGGTGAAAAGCACACTGAAACAATGGCCACAACTGCTTTCGCGTATGAACGAAACAGTTGAAATAACACATAAGCACCAGCAGCTGTCCGCCATCAAAGTGTATCAGACAACGCTGAGATGGAGGCGGGGTATCAAGGAGCGGTGACTTTTGCCTTATTCTATGCTATTCTTATCATCCATCACTCGCAGATGGCTGATTTTGTTGATAACGCGAACTAACAGCCACTTTGATTAGTAACCGCACTGGCCAAGGGCAAACAAAATGATAAGCATTTGCATCGGAAAATGCATCGATCCGCGATTGCACCCAGCAGCTGCGTGAAGGAAACCATGTGTGATGGTTAAGGACGTTCGTCACTATGTTTGCTTATAGCGGACGAGAAAGGATTAACATCAACAATTGATGCGAACAAAAGAAGCTTTATGGTGCACACTAGAGAAGGAAGTGACACTTTCTTGTTGATGAGCTGCGCGAACAAATGGCTCTGCGCCTCCTGCGCGGGGAACACGCCCCCAAGCAGCTGCAGCAGCCCGATGAAGGCCAGAGTCGGGTGCGGCAGGTGCGGCGGAAACACCTACTTGTACAGGCACACAGTGTTCTTCTCGGTTTTGTGCACTTCCTGGTCCAGGAATGGGAACGTCGCAGTTTGGGTCCCCGTCGTCCCGACATGATGCGGTCGTCGACGTGCGCGAGGGCAAAGGTGGCACAGCTGGA